GAGCCCCGGCGCATTCTCGCCTCTAGGCTCAGCCGACCCATACTTTGGAGGCTTCCCCAAGAGCTCAAACGAGTCCACACCCGATCTGCGACGAGACAGGTTCAGCCCCGATGTTGGTAGAGCAAGTCCTGACGTCGGCACGTACGAAGAGTTTCGGCACGGCATACTCAAGAACGCAAAGCAAAGCAACAGCAGCATAAATGAGTACGAAACATACATACATTCCGCTGATACCGATGGACTCCGAGGAGGAGGCGCCGCTCCCTCGATCAAGTCAGCATACGAGAACGACTTTCGCCCAATTCATGAATGCGCGACGACACGAGACTTTTACCACCCACGCATCACCTGGCTCAATTTGTCTTTGATTGTCATATCGCTGTTCTCGTGCTTGTTCTCTGGCATCTTCTTGGCCCTGGCTATCCGTGCCCCTCATTATGGGCGGCGCATTACTAGCCATGGGCCTATTACGCCCGCCGATGCTATCCTACTCACGACGGTCATGGCCAAGCTTATTGAGTTGTCTTTTGTGACGGCATTTGTGGCTTTCCTTGGGCAGGTGCTTAGTCGGAGGGCGTTTATGAAGGATCATGGGAGGGGGGTTACGTTGTCGGAACTTAGTATGTGGAGGTGGGTCGTTCAACCAGGTAAGCAGATGTCCTGTGTGGATCGTTTGTGAGGCGTGTTCTGACTTTTTTGTGATAGGCACTTTGATCACCCACTGGGAGACTGCAAAGTATGCTGGACTGTCTTTTCTGGGCATACTGAGTTTGCTGAGCGCTGTTTTGGCGACGCTTTACTCATCTGCAGCTGCCGCTACTGTTCAGCCTATGCTAAGAGATGGTAATTGGGATAACGGCCTGGTTCTGGCTGGCCGTGTCAAAAGCGATTTCGCAAACATCAACTACCTCAAGGAAATGTGTCAAACGCCCATTCGAACCGACCAGAAAGCTCAAGGAGAAACTTGTCTACAGATGGAACACGCTGGCCAAGGATACCACAACTTTCAGCGCTACCTCTCGGATTGGGATCTATCAGCCAGGAACGGCAACGGCACTTCAATCCAGAAGCTACGACCGCAGGGCTTTGGGCTTCTGTACGAGAACACTACGGTCACTGGGCAATGGATCGATATTGTCAACACTACTGAGGTTTCCCAGAAGTACGGTAGGGTTATCAACAATGTGACAATGGCAATGCCTCATTCAGGCGTGTTCGCTGCTGCCCGCGACCAAAGAAACGGAATCCTGCAGCCTGAAGAGCTAAACTCCGAAGGAACCTACTCGTTGCGCGCTTCGGTGCCGTCACCAGTATTGAACGTATTATGCGTAAACATGAACAGGACCGAGCTGGAGCCTATTGTATACGACGCCTGGAACGATGAGGTGGTCGATCTTCTTTCTTGGGGAAACGTTCCCGGTATCAGGGACAACGCGACCACAACCAACCAAACTGTGGTGGATGACATCTTCGGCTGGGACGTTAACGACACAACAACCACGATGAACTGGCCGCCCGTCTTCGGCAAATACCCCTTGCCTTTCAACACAATCATGAACCACACTAGCTTTGCCTGGGGACGATCCGCAATCTACCTGCTAGGACAAGGAGGACCAGATGATGTTGGCATGGATGGGACAGGCATCTTCTCATTGTGCAAATTACACCTCACGGTGAGACCAGGATGCAGTACACGTCATAATGTCACCGGCTCGGGCGCGACTATGGAAGCGCTTTGCGAAGACCCCAACGACAAAAAGGCCTTCGTCGAGACGGGCGAAGAAGTCAGCGTCAATACAAAGGGCGTGGCTAATTGGCGCGACATAGGTACTGACTGGTCCAACAGTCTGTCACTCGGCACAGGCCTCATGGATGCAAATGCGAGTACATCCAGACTATTGACACAATTGGTATTGAAGCCTACCAATCCGGATCCAGAAAACCTTCAGGTCGACCTAAGCAATGCCATACCCAGTTTAGGGGAGGCCCTGGCTGTTTTGGCTGGATGCACCTTGCTGTTGAGTATGGTGGATACGCCTTTTGTGACGTTCTGGGTGTGTAACTCTTTCTTTTTCTGTTGTTGGCGTCTTGCCACTTCGTAGCCCTCACTAGCGAATTCGCTGACACAACCCACAGAACTATTCCCACCCTATGCTCGACGAGTACCAAACGCAATACTTCAACGCCTCGCTCAAAGCCCAACAATATGCATCCGGGGGCATGCCCGGCGCTTCCAAAGCATGGGTACTCATACTTGCTCTCGTCTTCGCCATGAACGTCTTTGTCCTCATCTACTTCATCTTCCACCGCGGCCTGGTGACAGACTTTTGCGAACCGCCCAACCTCTTTGCCCTCGCCGTCAACTCGCCCCCATCGCACGTCCTCGCCGGATCTTGTGGCGGCGGCCCAGAAGGAAAACAATACATGGTGAACTGGTTCGTAAACCACGAGGGCAACCACTTATACATGGAGCCCGGCGAGAAGTCCCATCTCCTCGGTGGCCACGGCCACGGCCAGCCGCACGTCCACATGCATAGTCATACCCACAGCCCACTCCATGAAGCTCCACCAAGAGAAGGCAAAGGTGTGAATGGCTTCTTCGCCCAGATAGCCGAAACGGTCAAACGTAGATTCAGTATGAGAGAGCGTTCTGCGCCGACGAAGCTTCGGCCAGCTAGTGCGGTGGAGAGTCTCAGACCCCCTGTGACTGTTAGGCCCGGTAGTATAGCGTCGGATTATGAGATGGAGGATGGGCAGACGAGGACGTCGAGGCAGTATCAGAAGTTGGCGAAGAGAAGGAGTATGCTTTGAGCTTTTTTGGCTTGGGTGGTGTGGTAATGTAATGTTTATATGTAATGAATGTTTGACCGATACTCACGTCTGCTATCGAATGATCAGCACTTACAATATCTCTGAAGAACCCCAGGAATTGGACAAGATGAGTGTAAGTGACTGGTGGTTGGATGCGTTAGATCATCTCACTAGAAATAGGTAACGGCAGCTTGTGGTGAACAGCTTGCAGTCGTGCAACCCATGTGTTATATATCCGCCTACGTGATTCCAACAGTTGCATGTTGCGAGAGAAGAAGTACATTGCAGATGAATTTATCGCCGCCATAGGTACCATAATTTCTTCGCTGTCATCTCCGTATCCACTTTCCACCACCCTCGCCCATCGATAGCTACCACTTACTCCTATGTCGCCAGTCCACTGCATCTCTCGCGTTTGGTGGTTCATTGTCGTTTCGTGCGGCCTTGGGCTTGATCGGGCGTACTTAGAACGATCCGTCTCGTGGCTGTACGTCAGAGCTACTGGCGATTTCTTTTGGCTATCACTATTTAGTGACATGCACAGAAGCTTCGACTAGTCTTTGCTGCGAACCTTGTAGCCCCCATCGTAAGGTTGAAGATCATCGCCCTTGGGTCTTGGCTATCAATGCTTAGTGTTGTGTCGTGAAGACTCGGTTGAGTGTGGGCGAACCTTATATCCTCCATCCCCAGGCTGATCTGCGTAGATAATCCTTGGCTATAGCTTGTTAGTATTGCATTTTGTAGTGAACACTCGACCTTGCGATAGCGCATCATCCAGCACCAAAGTATCTATCCACGGGTATAGAATGAATCATGCGTACCTTACTATCATACGAAGCCATGTTAGACCTACTGGCGTGAGGGATGTTGAAGCCTGGATGGAAGTTCGGGATGATGTTTCGGATATTGCTAGTAACGAAAAATGCTGCCCGGATACGATGGATGGTACGATGCTCTTATCCACAGACCTACGAGCGGGAAGCAATCTCGAGACTGACCAGCTGATACAAGGTCTACATGCACTAGTATCCAGCCGACACTTCCAGATAGTCATTCGTCAAATCTCACCGATGAGACACCCACCAGGCGACAAGGCTGGCTCTGTGTCCTATCAATATAGCATGACTTACACATACCCCGCTTTTGCAGGCGACATTCTGGGCCGGCACGGCAAGTATAGGCTCAAATGCTAGGACTGTAGCCTATGATACTCGAGAAAAGGAGCGGTGTAGCTCTCCGCGAAAGCCACGTTCTTTGCTATCGGAGTGACGAACCGCGAGACGGTCCGATGAATATCAAACACACCTTCCCTAGATATCACGGGAACAGATAGTGCTAGGCATTCTGGATTAATGGCATACACTTGAACGCTATGAGTGCGGAAAGTAATACAAACAAGAGGCCATTATCGCGGATGCGACAGATGGTAGCATAAATGAGACAGATCTAAGTATGGCTAGGTCAATGAGGACGACCTAAGTCTCTGGGATGTAGGCTAGAGGACTTCAGGTTCAACAGAGGCTAAGCAAGATATGTAATATAAGACATTGTATAAAGAGAGTTATACCACCAGGGGGTAAACGAGTGTAAACAGATTGCAACCCGATAGGAAAGAGAAACAAGCAATACAAGAACCCGAACGCGACCTCGATAGCGATCAACGCCATCACCAACACACCAAACCGTTGAAATCCGCACGTTCTCATCGCGCCGGCGGCTGCGTCCAACGCCCCAACATCTGACCAAGTGCCCAATTCCATTCATTAACAAAAGCATTCGTGAGCTGCGTGATCTGCTCCGCAGACGGCGTCTGACCCGCCCACATAGCTGGCTGAGACGCCTGGTAACGCGCATAGTACGGCAGTAGCTGACTGTCTTGAGATCAGCAAACGAAATCGCAATGTAGTGTATGTTTTGGTAGACGTACTCAGTTTGTATCTTGTTCAGAACCAACCAACACAAGTTCCATGAGCGGTTGCTTGCAGGGTCGGCGTAGACACGTCGCTTTGCTTCGTCTAGGCAGTCAGAACTACAGATGGGTTAGCACATGCTTTGGGAGGCACCGTGTACCCTTCGGGGGGTCATGATGGGCAGTTTACCTGAAAGGATAGTTCCTAGTCAATCCACGAAGTTCGGTCAACAGGCCATGCGACTCGACGTAGTACTTCCCTGATACCCACAATCAGTTTTCAATCTACATATACCAGTATTGTCGATACTTACAAGCCGCCGTCATCGGCTCACTGCAGTCCGGTGTACCGAGCTTTGCAAAAGCCTGCTCGACACGGACGAGTTCAACGATGGTATTGAACTGGTGAGATCGAAGCGCTTGGATGTATTGTGCCTTTTCGGCCTGTTGGAGTTTAGCATCCGGGAAATAGGTGTTGACGGTCATATAGCGGATTGAGACGTACGGAGGTGATCTTTCGGCTGGAAGACATTCTGGCGAACTGTGGAACCCGGTATCTACGTGCTGGTGGGTTAAAGTATTCGCTGTGGTTGGGACTGGTAGAAGATGTAGGATCGATGGACATGTAATAGCAATTCGAACCCGAGCTCAACTGAACATGGGGTACCGAAGTTGATGGAGGAGGATGTATGGGAAGGACAACTTGCTGTGATGAGTCCATCGTTTGTTGAAGATAGTCAAAGTATTATATAGGTCTTTTCTATTGCTGATGTTGTCGTAGGAGTGGCCCTCTCAGCTATAGTCATCTCATAGCCAATGTGTGTGTCGTGAGGCATCCACGGAGAGCCACATGCAAGAAAGTTCCATGGGGATGAGTTCAGCTCTCGACGCCATATCGTCATAAGAAGTTGCAGGCTTCCCAAACAACAGTGCCAAGGGTGAAGAAGGCAGCTGTGAATTGTCGAATGCGGAAGCATCAAGTAAGATTATGAATCCTTTGAGGAACTATGAGATAACCTTCGTCCCTTTAGGCCTCCGTGCGTTCGATATAGGTCCGATAGTGTTAGCATCGTCTCCTTGATAGGCCAGTCTGCTTGCAGCAATGGGTCTGCGACACATCAAACACAAGTGCTGTGGTCAGATTATGGGTCATGAACAAGGGCTATGCGACTTGGTCATGGCTCTCGCGGCCCGGTCGATCTGATCCCAAGAGCTTTTGTAGAGATACTGTGATAATACCAGCCACATTCTTGATGCCGAGAGTTTGGATTGATCGCTCATTGGTCGTGTATTCAACATGTTTCAACTGTGTAAGCAACAGTGGGTCGCTTGAACCCTAACAGCGTCTTCAACACCATCATCGCCGTTGCACCTTACGGAGAATACTGCGTATCAGGTAAGTGCCATGCTGAGGACCAACGCGCAGCATGGTAGCTGAGCTCGATGTTGTCGATGTGTGGAGTCGGCATTTAGGCGCAATCCTGACGGAGTGTGCGAAACACGTTCGGAAAGTCAACTTTCCGTTGTATATCTGGGTATTTCGACACAATGAGAAAGAAGCTAACCAGAACATGTCGGAAGGCTGAGGCTGATATCCCCATATCTGTGCTGACGATGGAAGAGTTCATGGGATCCGGATTTGGCCGCTGTGGCTGGTTAGCTTGTGGCTGAGTATCGCACCCTCGCCAACTTCACCGCTATTACCTCGCAATCCTCACGCAATTCACGATTGCTAACAACACTGCTCCCGGATAGCTTTCTTTCCGAAGGGTACCTGACAAAGCCGCTGCTGAGCAACCGCGCGTTTAGGATTCCGCGTTCCACGTTTGGAAATGTCCTCGGGCGTCACGATCCCCATCTCACCAGCCACGACATAAGCACGACGTTGACCCTCAGTCTCGGGACCCGCGATCCGCGATCCTGGAAAAGGCATATCAATCTGGACGAACATATCGCGATTGATGGAAGCCATTGGTAGCCATCACTTAGCACACGCATAATGGCCCTTGAGGCTGTATCGGCTTGTCAGCAACTCTACGTCAGAAAGAGCCTCAAGACACATGAACTGGGGTCTGAGTGCGCATGACTGGAAGCCGCCATGTTAAACTTCTGATGATCGACCGCTAGAAGGTATGCTTGTTGCATCTCACCTCATTCCGCAGGGCTGCTTTGCAGCTACCACAAGACTCAGAGTTGGGAGACCATATGCTCCAATAGAAGAAGGTAAAACTGCCAAGTGGTAGATGCAGTCGCTCGTCTGGCCCCATGAATATTTCAGCTGCGTTGTGCCAGCCCCCGTTCTGCCACTGCTTAGCGTTTCCATTCTATCTTGCGACTGGAAGGTTTCTAGACTGGTTAGTTCCTGATCACTCACGCATATCGACAAGATAGCAATCATTGGGAACCAATGCTTTCGAATGGACCGGACGGCCACCGATGATTCGTAAAGATTCATGTTGATAGATTCTTTTACATGAGCAGGCAGAAGTCTTTCGACTCCGCAGTGCGTTTGAAGTCGTCATCCACCTTTTACACCCAGACACCTAGACCCGAGTGGTCTATATGCTCAGCGCCATGATGGAGTTTACGATGTCGTTGTCGTTCTCCTTGAGGGCCTTGACGGCCTTCTTCCGCGAGACGCTGGCCTGCTGCATGACGAGCTCGATGTCCTTGGCCTCAAGACCAGAGTCGTCGATCTCCTCATCGTCGTCCTCCTCTTCCTCCTCGTCCTTCTTGTCCTCGACAGCCTTGGCCTTGCCCTTGCCGGAGTCGTCGCCGTGGTCATGACCGGCGTGGTCGTGGGGCGCGGACTCGCCCTGAGCGAGCTGCTGGGCGGCGGAGGCCTGGGCCTGGGCGTTCAAGTCCTCGATCTTGGCCTCACCGAAGATGCTGGTGCGGGGTCAGCAGGCGGCTTGTGCCATTGAGGGGCAGCGACTCACATCCAGGTGTTGCTTGAGGGCGACTTGTAGACGTCCGGCTGGTTGATAACAAACAGAACCTGGTAGGTGTGTTAGCCTAATACCCTGCACTGTGTCTACGGTCTGCCCGCATCTCGTGTTTGTTGACTGCAGCTCCCCCACCAATTGCGCGGAAAGCACTCACGTTCTTCGGTCGGCGGAGGGTGACGCGTGTGATGCCGTCGATGTGCTTCAGGCCGAGCTTGGCAATGGCCTTGCGAGCCTTCTTCTCGTTGCGGGAGTGGACGGCGACGGAAGAGCCCGCGGGCACGTTGACCTCGCCCTCCTCGTTCTCAGACTCGTCGCTGGACTCATCCTCCTCGATCTGGACGTTCTTCTTCTCGGGCTCGTCGGGGAGCTCTTCAATGCGGGGGTTGGCCATTTTGTCGGTTTGTGGGTGACGGCAGGTGGTGGTGGTGCTGCAATATCGAGCGTCGCGGAGTTGGGGTCGGAGCTTCCAAAAATGATTTGTGGGCGGTTTAGCGCGGGCAGCTCTCGCAATTGGCAATGACGCCCATCACAAGCAACAATTACTCTCACAGCCCATGTCGCGCAATTCACAAGGAAGGGCATTTCAAAGGGGGTATCAAATTGCAATTCTAGTTGCACTGTTCGTGTGTGTTCATGAATTTGTGGATTGAACTCTCTTGCTACATGTGGAATGCATGCGAGAGCCGAGTAAACCGTTCCCAAACCGAATTGCACCGTGCCAAACATTGGACTTATTCGCCCTTAACCAGGCCTTGAATTTTTGAATGCCTTTGAGGTCGCCTTCGGAATGCTCATGAAATGCACGTCATGCCTCTATGCCACCTGCATGCAGCGATCACCACAACGCCTGTCTCCCGACAGCATCGAGACTACCTATGCCTTTGCGCTGGCGCGGATCTTGGCGAAGGTCTTCTGAACCTCGAAACGAGCCTGTGTTGTTGTTAGTCTGTGTTCCCAATTCGCATCCGGGGTACCGCGTCTCGTCCGAATGGTCGCATTCGACGACACAGGTACAAGCCAGAACGTACCTGCTTCCTCATCTTCATGACCTTGAAGCGCTCAAAGTCATTGAGTCCCCGCCTCTTCTGGATAGCCGCACGCTTCTGGGCCCATGAGCTCTCGTCGAACTTTTGCTGGACCTTGTGCTCCTCCCACTTCTTCGCGACGTGGCCGTTACCCGAGGCACGGGGAAGCTTGGGGATGACGATGGGTGTAAGGGAGAGTTTCGCAAGCGCGACTTCCTGGCGAGGGACAGGGGCCTTCTCGGAGGGACCTTGGAGGAGGACCTATGTCTGTGTGAGCCGCTGAACAGCACCCGGATCGCGGATTTTCCATACACGCTTGTGGTCAATGATCTCGACGATGACAGCGAGGCGGCCCTCGAATGCACCCTCGTTGAAGAGGACCACGCGGCCGACCTCTACCAGCCTCCAGGCACTCGTTGTAATTTCGGCGTCACCCATTTCGTCGATATGTGCTGCAAGAGAATGTTAGACGGGAAGACACGTGGAGTATTGCTGCGTCGAAAGCGTACCGGTCGGAAATAGGAGTCGGTGTTGATGTTCTTGTCGGGAGTAAGTAATGTCGGTCGGTGGAGGTTCGAAATTCAGTGTGAGCCCGGGGCCGTGCACAAGCGAAAGGCGCCTTGGCGCTAGCGCCGTCCTTAAAGTTTTCTGCGACCGCGCGACTTCCATCATCTCCTCCAGCACCGCGGGCACCGCAGAAGCACCACGCTCGACTCGACAGCCGTCGCGACTTTATGCAGTCGTCGACGTGGCTATTACGACCACTTGACCTCGCACCATGCGCTCTGCAGGTGCAGACGCGACGGACGCGACATGCGCCGAGCTAAACTACTCCAAAGACCCATAGCTACGATCCAACACCCATAGCTCCACTGGTATGTCTCTCGCCTCCACACTCCTCCCCCATCCTAGGATGACATAATTTGCGATTGAGCTCGGCGTCGGAGACCCTCGCCGGGGTCTCTTAACGGCGTCGAAGTCATGACATTCAATTTCTTACATATTCTGAGCTTGCCTTACCCATTCAGCTTCATCACCGCACCGACTTCGCGACAACGGCTGACCAAAACAGACGCTTAGATACCCAGCCAACAGATACCCGACATCCGACGTCGCTGTTAGCCTGCTCATTGCAAACCCATGTCGACATGCGACTGCAGTGCCGTCACTCCACACGGCTATCATGCACAGGTCAGTTCTTACTTTTTTACATCACCGCCCCCACTCCCAATGATTACAACATGCAATAGATAGTATATGATTTCTATGATTACTATTTTATCACCAAGATCACTGAAGGGATCCACAAACACGCTCTGCTTGATAACGCTTTGTTTCGATACAAGTCACTAACAAGCCTGCAGGTAAAATCTCATGTGTACGCAAGTACGCTCAACATCGCTGCATGTGCCAACTGCACGTTCTGTCTTCGTGTCAAGCCATGTTTTTAGCCTTCTTCAATCAAGTTGGCTTGTCCGCGTTGGGTCACGCGCGCATGTGATGAAGGCGACTA